TGAGCGCATTCAGTGCCTTGGGCCGCACTCTTCTCCACCAGAATGAGAGGAGACACTCTTGATTGTTGATCCACTCACTAATTCCTCAACTCACCTGGATGATCGGTCGACGCCTCCTCTAAGCGCGAATACAAATGCACCGCCATAGCCAGGCTTCTAAAATTAGGGCCTACTTATGTCTAATTCCCTGTATTTCCGGTTAAGCAGGTTTTACGGTTCTATACTTGGAATAATGTCACCAGGTAGGAATAAACCTATTCCCAGGTTCGAATCCTGGCAACCCCCTAATTTTTTGTTTTAGTTTAGTTTAGCTGACTTCTCTCCAAGTCCGTGAATGCTTTTTGTTTAAATCGTATGAACGCTTTAAAATCGTATAGTTTATCAATATTAATTTAGGGCAAGAGGCATGAAAATTTGACTTTGGTTTTAAGTTAAGGTACTTGGCTGCTATGACGGCGTCCTTGTGAGTCTTAGAGCTGATAAAAGACAAGCCCATTCCAGTTCATCTGGCTGGTAAGGTATACTAAGCAGCAGAGCTTCAGCATCTCTCAAAGAACTCGCCCGCCCTAACAAATCGATCATGCAGCAATAATGTAGGCTTCAGCCCGTGATCAAACATCAGACTCACAAAGCAAGACCTACCAGCCTCCAGCTTCCCGATCCGGCTAAAGACAACAGAAAACATGTCTCGTCCGGCAACTTGCTAAAGGTTTCCATGGCGTGCCTGGGATACCCGTTCTGGGAATACCCAGCCAGAAGCAATGCCTTTCCGGGTCATCTGCAGCTGAAATGCCGATGCTTGAGTCATATCTCCGACTTGGACATAAGTGGCCAGCATCGCCGTCCATGACACAGAGCTCCACTCGGGCATCATTTCAAAGACGCGCTCCGATCCTTTGAGATCTCTACAGAAGCAGAACACACGAAATACGTCCCGCTGAGGCATCACACCGAAAATCTGACTAGCCTCGTCTGCGTGATCGTTCCGGGCATACAACATTAGCATCGAGTTCCACGACACCAGATCCCGCTGCGGGGATTCCTCGAACACCGCCATCGCCTCCTCCACGCAATTCATCATCCTGGTGTTCTACGCGGAAAGCATGACATTCCACGAAACCAGATCCCTCACCGGCAATTCGAAACGAAACATCTGTCTGTGGCTCTGTCCAGATGCCCATTCCGGGCATATCCAGAAAGCATCCAGGCGGCCAGGTTCCAGTTTGCCGCGAACTCTCTACCCGGCCGTCGTTGTCAGGCGGAGCAGTTAAACTGGGAACGTAGGCAACGTTCCATACGGACTCTTCTCGGTTCACGTTCCAACGAGGGACGTGCAAATGCCGAGCACGAGTGTCCAGATTGAAGGCCACTGGTCGGTCCAACAAGTGGAGAAAGAGCATGTTGTTAGCCCGTTTGCAAGGAAGCAGGTGATGGGGCTCCACGTTCCTGCACAAGCCTCTCACATCGATGCTGGACACAATCGTCCACTCCAGCTGCTGCTCATCAGCTTCTTCATCGGCCGCCTCCACGATGATTATCCACTTTGGAGCGAAGCAAGGCCTTGCGAAGGGCACACCACCAGCGTGTTTCCCCACAACCACAATGCCTGCTGCCATCAGCTTGGACCGGTACATGAACGGGTCCAGCCTGCCATACACCGATCCCGCATCATCCGAACCTCCTTCCGGCGGCAGTGGGGGCAACGACTTGAAATGCCAAAACGCCCATGCGTCCCTTGCCCGGCTGTAGCCCCTGATTGTGTAGCCCAAACTCAATGAGTCGCAACAGGAGGCGTATTGCGCGTATTGCACGTCCACCTGAAAAAACACCCGGTAATTCGTGGTGGTTCTGGTTCGTGGGGCACCTGCCATCCTCGTTGCCAGCTTTGTCCCAATCGGGTCGAAGGAAATTGTCGAAGAGCCCTAAAAACTGTCGACTTTGATGATCTAAGGCGGTCTAGTGGAGGACTTCCTCTTCTAAAGGGCTCGCAAAGATACCGCTAGCTCCCACCGATACCGAAACACCGTCCAGAGCCTCCACGCTTGCGCGGTATGTGGTAGCGTCATCGTCTACGTTTGTCACTCACCGGTGGATGATTCTCTTTCCTTTGAGCGAAGAGATCGCGATGGAGGGATAGTTGAGATTGCTGGAAGCCATTTGTCGTTGTGTGAAACAGATGGTTTCAAGTTCGTGAAAGTGGAGACGTTTCGTATTTCCTGCCTCAATCCACACAGAAAGTTCGTGAATTCGGGTGCCTTGGCATTGTAGACGAGGCCCGGATGAGCAGCCGCGTTTGGATTGATGTGGTCTCCACCGAAGGTGCCGGAGAGCAATGCTGCGTCTTTGATCGGCTCCCCAGAGTTATCAGTGACAAGAGAAAAGAATCGATTGTTTTCTTCTGGAAAGCACATAGTGTTACCTGTAGTTACGATTGCCGAATTGATAGCGGCTGGACTCCATTCGGGACGGTATGCCTTGAGCAGTGCAACGATCTCAGAGACATGCGGACAAGACATGGAAGTTCATAATACAATATTGCGTGTTGTTTGCGAAAGCGAGGTGGAGTTGCTGTGGGAGCATTATATGTGCCTGGTGGATCTGCTGGCTGGGGACGCTGCCAGGACGCCGAGGAGCTCGTGGAGAGGATGCCGTTCGAGCAGTGCGTCACGGGCTGGACGACGCTGCTGAGCGGGTGCCGGATGCATGGCGACGTGGAGCGGGCGGAGCGCGCCGCGGAGATGGTGGGTGAGCTCGAGCCGGCGCGCAGTCCATCCTCATGCTTGGAGCTCTCGCAGAGAAGGACTGGGACATGATGAGCTTGATCAAGCGACACCTCCAGTGAGGTGACGAGTTTCTTCTTTCTTCGAGGATTTAAAGCTTCCTTTTGTGGCATCGAGAAATCAGCCACTTGGGATGGAAAGCCATGGCTGCTACTGCTGCTGCTGCTCTGGGAGGCGAGATCTCGATGACCAACAAGACGAGGAGGAGGGAAATTTTTGCGGCTCGGTCATCAAATGCATCGCCCAAGTCGGGCAATCAGGCACTGTGCTGTTCGAAGGGCTCTCCAACTTACATTCAAGAGTTTGAGAGCCGGAGCAGCGCAGACGAGGTAACTCTTCCAGAGCTCGAGCGAGAGAACTTGACATTCCTTGTTTGTGCTGTTCCAGGTGAGAAGCGAGCGCCACGGTCGATCACGTCATCCGAAACGATCCCTCGCTCCTCCTCATGGTGGGCGATCTCACATACTCGGATCAATACATCACCAATGGCACTGGATCGCCCTGCTTTAGCTGTGCACTTCCAGACGCGCCAATCCGGGAGACTTATCATCCCCACTGGGATCACTAGGGGAGGTGAGAGAGAGAAAGACTATAAATCCGCAATCCAATCCCTGATTTCCTTGCTCCCAGATTCATGGAGGAGGTGCCAACCACGAGATCGAGCCCCAGGCATTGGGCAAAACATACAAGGCCAGGTTCTCGGTGCCTCCTGGATCGAATTCCAGCCTTTAGTTCTCGTTCGATGTCGGCGGCATCCACTTCCTGATGCTGGGAGGATCGCGTCAACAGGCTCCTCACGCCCTGGATCGTGGCATCCGCCGTGGTACAATAGCTACAGCTCCCACTACCGCGAGGTCGAGTGCATGCGTCTCGAAATGGAGGAGCTTCTCTACAATGCCGGCGTCGACATTGTCTTCAATGGCCATGTAAATCCCTCTCTCTTCTCGATCTCGACAGGAATCCTCGGTGTTCTTCCAGGTCCATGCCTTAGAACGAGAGTGGACACGGAGGACGCTGACGATCGCCCCAAGCCTGAGGACAACGTACCCCAATTCGGTGGAGTTTGTGCTCAAAACTTTGGCTCTGAGCCAGCGGCGAATCAATTCTGCTGGGACAGGCAGCCGGAATGGAGCGCGCTGCGAGATGGAAGCTTTGGTCACGGCCTATTGGAGGTAACCTCGAGAGTTCAACCTCTTGATTTTGCTCTTTTTCTCTTTAGGTGAAGAACAATACCCATGCCCTGTGGACGTGGTACCGCAACCAAGATGTGTATGGTGATAGTCACCTTGGAGACATTGTGAAATCACCGCAGTGCCGGAACTATCCTGCTTTCCAAGCTGACGAAAGATCGGGTGGAAACAGTGGAAGTCCCTCCAGGATCTTGGGAGCTCTAGCCATTTTGATGGCAACGCTTCTAGAATTTTGAAAGTGCAGAAGTTAATAAACATTAGCATATGAAAAGAATTATCGCGAGTGAATTCCAGTACAATTGGAGAGGGAAAAGCTAACTGGAAGTCTGGTTTCCAGCCATCCAGTCAAAACTGCCGCTTTGCATGTCGACGTGGCGGTTCTTCAGTGGTTGACATTTTCTCGGCAGCATATATACGATATCAACACAAACGCTGATCATATCATCGGTCTCTCTTTGATAGATTATCTTTGCAAGAGGAACTCTAGATCATGTCTCGCGCACTAAGTTTTTTCTTCTTCTTCCTCTTGGTGGCTGCTACTGTGACCTCTCGGCCAGTGAAGAATGAAACAGGTACGCCTGTTCTTCAATCTCGATTGAATATGCCTCGCTTGGATTTGATGATCTCTGTGTTTCTTTTGAAACATCATGGTCCATGTCTGCACTCGCTTGCATGTGTGTCTGTCCAAGCACGTAACCTGATTCATACGTGATTTAAACTTTTTGTCTTTTACAGTGATGGCTAAGATTGCTAATCAGCTGGATTGGTCGTCATTGTCCAATTCCACCCCAAAAATTGCCGAACCAGAGGTAAAATAATCCTGTATTTGAAGACAATATTCTTGACATGTATGATCGTGTGTTGTCAATCATCTTTGGTGATCAGGAGCAGCAAGCCCATGTTGACTACATTTATGATTTTAATCCTTGATGAAACGGCACATTAATAAGGAGGGATCATAGGCTTTAAAATTCTCATAATATACCTTTAATATAAATCGATTTGTCTTTGTAGTATTTTCATTATACAAATTGAAAAAAAGTTGTACAAGTAATATTTTCCAGTCTGTCTTAAAAGCCCCACAACTTCCGTGAGTAAGTTTTATTGATCAGACGTGCCAAACAAGGAGAGATCATGTGGGAGATCACTCAGTTATTCATCTTTCATCATATGGATATAGTTTGATCATCCAAAAGGATCTAGCAGCACTGGAGAACTCCCTCGACGTTCTGGATGCAATCGTCGAGGTTGCGAGTGGAAGAGACGAGAACGCCATCCCCGCGGTTGCAACGGGCAGCCACGTTGAGCCCATTGAAGCTGATGTTGATGCATCGTGAGGCAAAGTTGGATGAGCAGTCGAGGACACCATTGCTGCTGCCCACGCAATTGTTCACATCGATGGAGGCGTTCCTCCTTTCCATATTGGATGTGCTGCAAATGGCTCTCATCACGGTCGAATTCCTGTCGAAGGTGATATCAGTGCAGGATCGAGAAAACTGGCAAGCCTGTAAGAGTAAGATATCCAAATTGTGAGCTTCTTGCGGGACAATCGAATGAGAGTTTCTTACCTGGGTGATGGAGAGGGTCGAGACCAGCATACACAGGAAGAAAACCTCGCGAAATGCCATAATGAGATAGAACAAGAAATAACCAAGAAGAAAATGAGTAAACAACTTTAACTAGAGATGAGTTGAGCTCTGGAAAGGCCTTGTTTATATAGTCCTGGGAGCGACGCTTATCTTGACGACTCAGCAGTAAATGACTCCACATTGCGGCTTGAATGCAAAATTTCTACGTCGACTACATTGCTATACACGTAAATATTGAAATTTAGCTCAGTTTATGATTTTTCAACGTTCCAGCCAGCTATACACGGTGACATTTTTATGAGTTTGCGTGTTTCTTTTAATTTGCTAGACTATAAATGGGACCTTTTTGGGGCAAGACCGCTACGAAGAGACTCCAGGAGACATCGATTTCTACGTGCCCATAGATAGAATCGCGAAGATTATCCAGTGTGTCCACACTGCTGGTAGACGTAAAATCGAAAAGCACATAAATTCCTCCAAAGATGAAGGATACTTTATCTTTGCAAGCCATTTAGAAGATACCGGAGCCTCCACGCTTGTTGCTCGGTACGTGCTAGCGTCGTCGTCTACGTTTGTCACTCGCCGGTGGATGATCCTCTTTCCTTTGAGCGAAGAGATCGCGATGGAGGGATAGTTGAGATTGCTGCGTCGTCGTGTGGAATAGATGGTTTCAAGTTTGCGAAAGTGGAGACGTTTCGTATTTCCTGCCTCAATCCACACAGAAAGTCCGTGCATTCGGGCGCCTTGGCATCGTAGACGAGGCCCGGATGAGCAGCCGCGTTTGGATTGATGTGGTCTCCACCGAAGGTGCCGGAGAGCAATCCTGCGTCTTTGATCGGCTCCACAGAGTTATCAGTGAGAAAACCTGCTGCAAAACAAGAGAAAAGAATCGATTGTTTTCTTCTGGAAAGCACGTAGTGTTACCTGTAGTTACGATTGCCGAATGCGGCTGGACTCCGGTATGCCTTGTCAGAGACATGCGGACAAGACATGGAAGTTCATAATATTGCGTATTGTTTGCGAAAGGTCTCCCACCAAGAAAAGGAAACCATAATGCGTATTGTCACTCCCATTCCTTGGTGGGAGACAAGGCTTTGAGTCCATGGGAATTTGATGTGGCTCTTCTTGGTGCGTTTTATACACAAACTCTTCAGGTCTCACGTCAACCAAGTCTTTCTTCTCTCTATGGCAGCCAGAGATTATTCTCAGGAACCAAAGACGAGCTAAGCTCCGGCAGTGCACATTCTTATGTAACCTCTTGCTATCACTACATGCCCGGTTTGGGCACATTGACGAGGCGATCAAGGTCCTTCACTCGATTCAGGATCCCAATGTCTTCTCTTCGAAAATCCTGTTACGGGCCTTTTGCGATGACAATTGCGTTTCTGGGGAGGGAAAAACCTTTGATTCTTTACAGGAGAGGGTGGACTACGATGGTGATCGCATATGCCCGCATTGGGCATATTTTGCGGCAAAGTTTCTCTTCACGGGCCACGGCGCAACCAGGTGAAATGCCTCTCGTCCACCGCGAGGTCTTGTTCAACGGATGCTGTCCCAGGGACAAGTCAAATTAATCTCAGTTGCTACTCGAGTACGTACTGCCGCACAGGTCACGTCGCTGGTTGGAATTCATGGTTTCGTGCCTCGAGATCTTCCTTGGAGAGGAAGTTTTTCGATGAAAAGTTCATCCTGCTAAACCCCAAGACGTTGGAGCTCACGTTGGCGACTGAAAGTCTTGACATGAAACCACTGGTGGACTTGACCAGTTGACTCTAGCTCGATCAAAGGAAAGACACCGAAAGAGATCTGGACTGCCAGACGAACTAACAGAAGTAAGAAGCGAATGCTATCTCACAGGCATGGCAAGAAGCGTCTACTCGTTAAAGAAGTTTACGAATTGCTTAATTCCTGCTCGGCAGTGGACAAGGGCTGCGAGCTTCGTGCAGATTCATGGTGGCGTGGATGAAACTGCAGCACAGCACGAGGAGAAGCCAAAATAATGTTTGATTGCTAAAAAGGATCAAATCTCAAAAACACAATGCTAGAAGCATCAAATTCATGATCACGGGCATTCTTTTTGTATTGTGAAGAACATTGCTCTTTCAATTTGCTTAGGACCACAAACTGCAACTCAAGTCCGTCCACACGGAAGAGCCATCCAGCAGGCTGTCATCCGTCCAATTAAGTAGCTGGTAAGATGCTTCGTTTTGGACTAATTGAGAAAACTCTCCGTTTTCCCCTTTTTTCCCAGTGGTATTTAGGTCATGTTTAGGGTTCATCGTTGAAAGACATAATTGGGTTGGCCCCTTGGCCGGTCCGGTCCACTCTGCCCAGGTAGAACGCTTCGCACCTCTCTCCACCAAGTTCGTTTAGGTAGGGCTTTTCTTTGCGTTAGCAATAAGAGAGTAGATTTGCTGGGGACAAGAAAGCGAAGCTGCTTGCAACGAGCTAATCAACAATAAAAGAAGCCAGTGATAGTCAATACGTTCAAACAATTCAAAAAATCAAAGTCCTAAACAACGGGCCAAGGAACTCTCAACGTGAAGGGAAACTCACTGATGTGGACAACGCTGTGTGAATACGAACAAAACTAATGATCATTGAAAGTGAAGATACTTACTTAGTGCGCGAGACATGATCTAGAGTTCCTCTTGCAAAGAAAATCTATCAAAGAGAGACCGATGATATGATCAGCGTTTGTGTTGATATCGTATATATGCTGCCGAGAAAATGTCAACCACTGAAGAACCGCCACGTCGACATACAAAGCGGCAGTTTTGACTGGATGGCTGGAAACCAGACTTCCAGTTAGCTTTTCCCTCTCCAATTGTACTGGAATTCACTCGCGATAATTCTTTTCATATGCTAATGTTTATTAACTTCTGCACTTTCAAAATTCTAGAAGCGTTGCCATCAAAATGGCTAGAGCTCCCAAGATCCTGGAGGGACTTCCACTGTTTCCACCCGATCTTTCGTCAGCTTGGAAAGCAGGATAGTTCCGGCACTGCGGTGATTTCACAATGTCTCCAAGGTGACTATCACCATGCACATCTTGGTTGCGGTACCACGTCCACAGGGCATGGGTATTGTTCTTCACCTAAAGAGAAAAAGAGCAAAATCAAGAGGTTGAACTCTCGAGGTTACCTCCAATAGGCCGTGACCAAAGCTTCCGTCTCGCAGGGCCGCAGGGCGCTCCATTCCGGCTGCCTGTCCCAGCAGAATTGATTTGCCGCTGGCCCAGAGCCGAAGTTTTGAGCACAAACTCCACCGACGAGAGGCATTCCACCTGGTTGCGCGCGGCCCGTGAAGAGAAACTTTTCCGCGAAAGATGCCCAATCCGGGCATATGCGATCACCATCGTAGTCCAGGTCACCACGTCCCTCTCCTTCAGAGAATAAAAGGTTTTTCTCTCCTCAGAAACGCGACTGTCATCGCAAAAGGCCCCTAACAGGATTTTCAAGGAGAAGACATTGGAATTCTGGATCGAAACACCTTGACAATATGGCCAAATCGGGCAGCATTTGAGTTCTTATCGTCGTTGAGCAGCCTTCTTAATGACAAGAAATTAGAACAAATTGAAACACACTCAAACCTGAAGACGTTGTCCTCAGGCTTGGGGCATTTCCCCGGATCGTCAGCGTGCTCCGTGTCCACTCTCTTTATATTGCCGCCATCGCCCACCACGATGTAGAGCGCGGGTCCAGCTCGTAAGTGTAACTCTGTTCTTCCTCTCATAGGGATGGACCTGGAAGAACACCGAGGATTCCTGTCGAGATCGAGAAGAGAGAGGGATTTACATGGCCATTGAGGACAATGTCGACGCCCGCATTGTAGAGAAGCTCCTCCATTTCGAGACGCATGCACTCGACGTCGCGGTAGTGGGAGCGGTAGCTATTGTACCACAGGAGCCTGTTGACGCGATCCTCCCAGCATCAGGAAGTGGATGCCGCCGACATCAAACGAGTAATAAAGGCTGGAATTCGATCCAGGAGGCACCGAGAACCTGGCCTTGTACGTTTTGCCCAATGCCTGGGGCTCGATCTCGTGGTTGGCACCTCCTCCATGAATCTGGGAGCAAGGAAAACAGGGATTGGATTGCGGATTTATAGTCTTGCTTGTTAGCAGTGGAGAGACGCACACGAGGAGGAAGAACTCGCTGTATATTCAACTGTATATGGATGATACTTACTGCCACGTGGGCATAATCACATGCCACATCATCTCTACCTCTAACATTCTCATTCACGATCAAGCGGTTGATCCAAGTCTTAATCTAAGCCTGAATCATGCCTAGTTAGTCTAAGATGATGAGCATAGAGAGCTGGTGAGAAAATCATAAGAAAAACTCATCAATCAACCCAAAACTTGGTTCTTAGTCTTGAACTTGCTTGCACGCTCTTTGCTTTTTGCTATGGTTTCAATCTTGCCACTAGCATGTGGTCTTGGCTGTGAACTGCCATGCTCCCACTTCTACTGCTACCAGGCACTTGAATCTCCATAAGCGTCTTTCCCAATTGCTAGAAATTCCTGCAAAGAATTGTTATGCAATGTTCTTGAATCTTGTTTGATCCAATTTTTAATGTGGGTTGCTGAAATTTCTCAATCTCCCACTGGCTTTATGCTCTGCTTGCTACAGCTTGCTGCTCAGCACATCTGCACGGCCTGGTGCCTTGATGCAACACCTCAACCATCTAATGCATCTAACAAAAGCTTCAACATTGCAAAAAAAGATTGCAATCAGGAGGCTCATCCTCCTCCTCATCACTGGCCTCCTGGTCAGCAAGTGCCATGCCCAGGATCAAGGAGCCAACTGCTCTAATATCATGTTAGTAGCGGAGAGACGTGCACGAGGAGGAAGAACTTTCTCTCTGTACTCTCTATTGAACTGTATATGGATGGTACATATACATGAACTTACTGCCACGTGGGCATAATTACATGCTACATCATCTCTACCTCTAACATTGCCTCCCCTAGTGATCCCAGTGGGGATGATAAGTCTCCCAGATTGGCATGTCTGGAAATGCACAGCTACAGCAGGGCGATCCAGTGCCATTGGTGATGAATTGATCCGAGTA